TTTTATCATTGGCTTCGATTCTCTTCTCCCCTGATTCAATTCTTTTGGTGAGCTCCTCCAGCATTTTAATTATCATAGGATTAGTCCCCATTTCGTTACCATTCGGCCTCTCCGATACTAGCTCGGTACGACGAGTAATTTCCGACTCGACCCTTTTCAGAGCTCTATGTTGATTTTGTAACTGAGCAATAGCTGCTTGCTGAGCCTGAAGCATCTCGAATATTACTTGGAGACTGACTCCCTCATTTCCTCTGCCCTGTGTTCCTTGTCCATTAGATCGGCCTTATTTACGTACACTCCCATCGAGATCTGCGCATAGGTCTGCATTTAGAGCAACATGCGAACTGACATCGACGGGGTTGGTAACCGATGCTCCCCCGTTATTAGCCTATGGCACTTCGATTCCTGGAGCAATCACATTTTCCTTTTTACCATGGAATCCGAGGTCATTGTCACCGTGTGTGGATGCGTTTTGTGAGTTTGACATGTTTTAACCTGAAAGCAAATATACTTGACAAGAATAAGCGTAAAATAGTGTGTTTCACCAGAATCAGTACTGAAAAATCACTATTATCCTTAGCCCCATGGTGGGAGCCAAACTGTTTACCCTAAAATTCGAGTAACAATTAAACTTATTTAGTGGTTTTAAGGATACGTGATTTAATCCAATACCATTTGATAAATAAGGAATTGAATAGATAATCTGAATAGTAAAATAAATCAAACCAGTGTTCTAGCAGTACTTTCGATCGCGATTAGGGATGGTCTCGAGGTTGGGTAAGAAGAACAGTAAAGAACAGAAAATAAACAATGATGAACAATAATGGATAGTAAGTGAAATAGAGAGCAACATTTTTGTATATGTTTTTCAGTGAATCAATAACCGCTTGATTCGATCTGTTCCGGGATTTCTGCCGAGATCTTCGGTCGGTTGCTAATATCTCGCTATTCCGTTATTATGCCTTACTCGAAGTCGGTCATGCTCGGTCTCGATCTTCAGCGATCACTTCGATCTTCATGCTTCATATTCTGCCATTGAGCTCGAGCCTAGTCTATTACGAGCTTACTCTCGAGGCAGTTCCTCGTGCCTAAGAAATCTGACATGCCCGATTTCGACCGTATACAGTTGTCTCGACAACTGAACTTTCCGATTACAGTATCAATTAAATTTAGAAGAAACTACAGGATTAAATTCTCGAATCTCTAAAGGTTTGAATGCATGTTTGTTTAAAACCTAGCTACTGAATTTGAGTTGGATTTACAGCTTGTTTGGATGATTGTTACCCATTGTATGGTATTGTATTGTTATCCCAAAACAACGTTTGTTTTGATTGTTTCGTTAAAATTGGTTGTATTATATTGTTAAATCCATTATTCCGAAATAGTGAAAAGTCTCATTTTTTGAAACAACCGATTTGGTGTTGTGGGATTGTTTCTTATTTTTCTTTCCAATTATGGCCTAACTTATTACTCCATAATTTTATTTTACCCTTTACCTTTTTTTATTTTAACTCCAAATCTCCAACCTATAACCTACTTTGTTTTTTCCCAGAACTTTTGCCGCCAACGTTAAAGGTGTTTTGCCTTCTTCTGTTTTATTTTTTCTCCTAATTTGCTTTTAACTCTAATTCTAATTAGTTGTGCTCCTTTGTTTTGCCTTCTTCTATCTCGTTCCTTTGTTCTGCTTTCTTTAAAGGTGTTTTGCCTTCTATTGGGGGGGGGTGATAAATTAGTAGAAAGAGATTTTTTAAAATTATTTTTCTGTATAATTTTTGATAAATTTTATATTTAAACAATTGAGGGTATTTTAGTAAACTTATCAGTTACAGTACATCATGATATAATCAAACCAAACAACAAAATATTATTTAACAACAACAAACAATACAACCTATTCAAATATTGTATTCATAAAACGATACAATACAATACATTATAAAATGATGGGGAACAATGATTCAAACAGAGTGTTAGACTTAGAAGCTGCTATCAGTTGAGGGTAAGTTTATTCCACTGCTCATTCGAAAATTGATATTTGTGAACTAAACTTCTCTTTGATAGTTGCTGGATTATTTGGGTTGAATTAGTGAGTTTGATTCGAGCATCTTGTTGATTAGTGATTGAGCTAAATTCATTAGTCGACTCGAGGTTATTATTAGTTTGAACTATTGTATGAAGTACTGGTTTATGAATTCAGTTGGTAATTTTGATTGAGTTTCAAAGTGTTAACTGAAAATCTCATTGATAGCTTGGATGAAGTTCTATTGGATTGAAATTATTCTGAGGTTATAATTACTTAGTTGTTGTCCATCTGAAAATAATTGAGACTGTTTATTGGGATTTTGGATTGAGTTTCTGAGTTCTATTAGAGCAAAGGTTCTAGAAATTGAGGCTTGCAGAAGATGCTTGCTATTGTTGCTAAAGTTTAGATCATTGCCGCTGTTAAAACAGTAGAACCAGCCTAGAAATTACTTCAGGACCTGCAGAAATTGAGCATAGTATTTGCAGCAGTTGAGTACAATGTTTGCCCCAATTATTTGTTCCAGATTTTGTTGAACTTGTCGACTATTTCTTCACTGATTGAAACTCGTTCTTGAGCTTGAAGAATTTGTATTGGGGATGACTTTAGAGGGTGTTGACTGAAGAATTGATTGAAGTGAACTTTCAATTAAAATTCTGCAGTTTTGTGTCTAGTTTTACCTGCAAGTTTGAGCTGCACATTGCTTCTGCTATAAATTCTGCACTATTGATGTTTGGCTAAAAATCCATATTTTTGCATGTAATTTGCCTTGCATTATACCTCGATCTTGTTAATTTTTGTGTGAATATTTGTGACTCGAGCTTAATAATGGTATTTATATGTGTAGGGGTCAATTGGAAGTGATTTAGAAAGTTTGCATGCGAATTGAAGTGAAAATCGGAAGAATTTGGAGGAAGTATAAGTTCGGTGCCCAGCTTCGCACTAGGCACCAACCAAAACGCCGTTAAAAGTAGAATGAAATATGCATTGTCCAGGTTGGTGCTTAGCGCCAAGCGAGACGGTGAAGGGCGAATTTTGTCTTAATTAAGTTGGGACTTGGGGATTTCAACCCTACCCGTCCCCAATATGTATAAAAGGTGTTCTAAACCTATTTTTGGAGGAACGAACATTTTTTGGACCAAGGGAGAGCACAGAGCCGCCGTGGACGTCGAAATTCATTAGATTTTATTTTTCTTTCATCAAACTTAGTAATCTTTACATTTCTTTGGATAGATTGTTGTTTTGCTACCATGTCTATGAGGAGCTAAACTTGCGTTCTAGGGTTGTGGTCGTCATGAATATTGAAGTTTATTAATTACACGGTTAACTCGAGTTATCATTGTTGGTTGTTTCTCTAATTCTGTGCATAATTGCTTAATTGTTTGGCCAACAGTTGAGTTTTATTTACTTTCTATGCTATGCTTGGGAAAGCCGTATTTAGATTAGAGTAAAATTAGAGAGAGCTTATTTCTGAACCCGTGGCCTGGGGAAAGATTTTGCGATTAAGATTGGAATATACCTAACAGTCTTGCTTAGTTGAATACCGTATTATATTCGTTCATGATAGATTCAATACCATAGGAATATAATGTTGATATATTGTGGATAGACGGATAGTATTGTGGGAACATGCTATTTATATAAACAATCCGGTTAACTAGCAATCATAGATAATTGGGATTAATATGTGTAATAACGAACTCAATAGGATTGAAAAATCAACCATAACCCTGGAATCTTCATCTCCTTTGATTTAAGTCTAACTACAATCGTTTGCTCCTAATTAACTTAGCTAATTACTTGTTTAATTTCTGCAAAAGTAGTTTAGTAGAAAACAATATTTTTGATTATCTTGGACAGTTAATTGATTTTATTTAGCTTAGTTAACGATTAATCTAAGTCTCTGTGGGTTCGACATCCGACTTTCGAGTCACTTTATTACTTGACGGCCACGTATACTTGTGTGTACTTGAGGAACCAACAATTGTCTCAGCTGAGAATTTGCAGAGTTTCCTGCATCATAGAATCGGCACTGTTGGTACTGTTTGAGTTGGTTTTCTGTACTGGTGAGAGAATTCTACATATCTCAATTCTGCAGAAATATGAACTGCTGAAAATATGCAATTTTGTTTGACAATTAACCTGAAATTCTTGCACTCTTTGAGCTGCTATTGAAAGTTGTTGAAACAACCTTGAAAATTTGCAGTTTGTCCCATGTTTATGCACTGTTTGAGCAGAAAAATCTGCACAACTTTGGATCAAACCTCTGCACTGCTGCAACATAAAAGCAGTCTAGTTTCAGCTTTCATTTTAAGCACCATTTTGGCTACAATTTGAAGAAGATCTCCTCTGTCCAACTTTTCAGATTCCTGCCCAGATTTAGGTCTTCAACTGCATTCCAGATAATCCTATTACATTATAAAGATCTGACCAGTTCTTTGCATTGAGAAAATTGCAGAAACTAAAGTTCTAGACACCCTTTTTGTTTAGGTCTTGCTTATTTTCTAAGTTGATGAATAAAATTTCTGTGAGTTTGAACTGAACTTGACCCTAGTTCCTGTTGATTAAGATGAACAATCAAAGGTCTATTATTGCTAGAATTTTGTGTTGCTACTGCTGTTGCAATTAGAATGTGTTCGAACTGAGGATGAAAATAGCTGTTGTTGGGATTGAAATCTTCAGTTGCTGAGTTCTATTTTCTTGCAACCATAACTGGAACTCCTTTGATTCATCTTCTCTTGCAACAGTTGGATTAACAACTCGTGAGCCTTGTGAATTAATCTCATATCTGTTGAGACTCTTTGAGATTTGATTACTTTTAAGGTGAGCTTGTAGCTAGAAGCTGAAGTTTTGCACCAAATGAGATTTTGTGATGTTTTTTCAGTTATTTCGGTTGTCCAATTCCTACAGTTGAAATTTTTGCACTGATTCCAAAAATAATGCAGCTAAAAAGAAATTGAATAAGTAACTTGAAGCAACCTTGCAACTGAAATAAGGCATTTAAGCTACTAAATTACATAGTTGTGAGAAAACTTTGCACCGGTTTATCTACATTGTTAGTTGTAGTTATGCACAATTGTTGCTTAGTAATTTCTGCACAAGTTGCATCAGTTGAGATACTAGCTTGGGACAGTTGATATTGGTATAAAATTGGTTTAGATAAAAGAACTAGGGACTACCAAAATCTGCAGATAGAACCTTCAGTTTGGAGCAGTGTTTGGCAGCCAGAATCTGCAAGGTTTGAATGCGATTTCTGCACTATTTGAGCCACAATTTTCTGCTGAATTACTTTATAGTTGTTGCTGAATTTCGAGTGTATTTTGAAGAAAGTGCCTAGAAGTTTCAGCATTCACTTTCCTTTAGCATTTGTTGCTGTTTAGGATCCATTTTGAGAAGTTTTGCCCAGAAAATTCTACCAAGAAGGGTTTTGGATTAGTGAGTCACTTGGGTCATGTTTTGAGATGCAGAATTGCAGCACTTCTGTCAACTTCAGGACTATTGTTAACTGCTTGAGTTACTGCATATTTTGAAGTTAAGACTACATCAGTTCACCACCAGCTTTGGTGTCCAACTTTCACTAAGGATTTTGGGCATCAGTTGCACATGTTTCAGCTCCAGTTTTGCTGAAACTCCCAGATTATTTTGCTAAGCTTTTGAGTCTAAATACCCGAGGGAAGTATGTTCTAAAGTGTGGTGACTGATTTTGCAATTTCTGCACAATTGAGTTTGCTAAGGAGATCACCAACAGTCTACAAATCTCTACAACTGCCCAGTTTTGCAAATCTGACCATTTTTGCAAATATGTTCAGTTTTTGCGAATCTGACCAAAATTTGAGAGAGTGTCTAGATTTGTAGTTTCTTTTCTTTTCTTTCTTCCAATTTGTAGAAACTAAACTCTAAACTTGATACAAGCCGGATGAGCACGCTTAACGAGGATGAATTCCTAGTCAACGTCATAGCATTAGAGTGCTTTAAAGGAGTCAAGAAGGCTATATTTGCAATTTAGCTATTTAGGCTAGATTTAGCTTCATTTACTAGCTAAGAGTATTTTGGTCATTTAGCCTAAATAACACTCTAATATAAATATTTCTTTCTCATTTTGAAACGGGGCTTTTGCTGATGGATTGATAAACTAAGACCAAACATTGAGATATTTAGAGTATCTTTTATTTATCTTTATTTACCATGTGTTCTAGATTATCTATGTTAGGTTTATCATATATGAGTTCACGTTTATACTCTTGGATTATCTTTTGTATTTGAATGTTAATTCGTTGTTCTAGTTTATATATCTTCCGGGGGCTTTGAAATTCATTCTTTTACTTAGCTTAATCCGTATTTCTTATTAGTGTTCTTCTTCGATTAGTGTTTATCATAGTAAATTCAAGGGGTCTAACTAGTTCATAGTTATGTTCTCGTATTTCTCTATTTTAAACCCTAATCTCCTATCTTTTTGATTCTGTGTATTTTTTCATTATTCATATTCTCTATACGATTTCGTATCATCTTGGTATCAGAGCGGAGGTTTTGGATTGTTGTATCTATGTCTTTGTTTTGATTATCATCAAAATCTGAAAATAATAAATAAATAAATTGAAAATTCCAAAAAAGGGAAAGATTACTACTGTACATCTGACTATTTTGAGACTAAAATTAGAAATCCATGTCTCTCTGTGCTTGAAATTTTGATTCAGAAAATTATTGAATCCACTGAAATTGATTGATTTTAAGTGGATATCGTTGGATTCCTTGGATTGTAGTTCGAGTTTCACTGCTGAAAATCTCCATTTGCGACTTTGAAGTTTATCGACTTAGCTCAGATTTGAATTTCGTTGAGGATTTGAGTTTGAATTCGATTGGGTGTTCATGATTCTGGTTGGAAAAATCATTGTGAAGCACAATCTAAAGTGTGGGATCGATTTGGGCTAGTTTTGCTAGCGTTTCATTCAGAAAATTCGAACAAATTGTTTGACGAAGAAGACGAATTTAGATCTTTCGATTTTGCTGTTGTTTGCTCAAATTAATCACTGGGGTTTGGTATTGGGGTTGGTTAGAGTTATCATTTCAAGTTTGAAATTATTTAGTGAAGATTTGGGTGAGATTGGATCGTCTTGGGGCTGCTAAAGCACGAAGAATACTTCCAGTTCTTCAGTCGATAAACTTAGAACAGATTGCAATTTCTGGGTTCAAAATTTGAAGTCGAGCATCACCACACAAACAATTCGCCTCCCTGATTCAGGTTTGATTTTCTAAACAGTGAAGCTTCATTTGGTTTCTGAACTTCTGAGACCCAAATTGAGACTGTTTGATGGACTTTATTGCTCTTGTTGCTGGTAATTACGACTAAGTTTCTGATTCTCTAAGCTTGCATTTTCTGAGTTTTGAGCTACAATTTTCCTTGCTTCTGCTTGTGAACTGAATTTGCAGTTCATAATTCTTTGTGTGAATTCGTGAGCGCGACCTTGTGAACTGATAATCGTCTTCTTCCTATTAATGAATTAGTGACTTCAAATTGAGATTCTTATTGAATGTGATTGAGCTGAAATCTGTCGTAGCTGCTGCAAGTTTGAAAATCCATCTTTGTATTGCGATTTGAGTATTGGATTCCTGTAGCTTGTGTTTTACTACTGGAATTGTTTCTTTTAGAATTGGAATTCTGGAATATTGAAGTTGTCTTAGCAGCTATTTGAGCAACAAACAGATGAAGTGTAGGCTGTTTCTGATAGGTTTTTCAGTAGTATTTTTGACAGCAAAAATCTGCTCTGTTTGAGTTTCATCTGCAGCTTGTTGCCCGTTTGTGGTGCCTTGTTCTTTTCCAGAAGACTTATTTGGCTGATAGAATCTACAGAGCCTGTTTGCATCAGTTGTTTTGCACCAGTCTTTTTTCCACATTTTTGGAGGTGAATTGAATTGGTTTTGGACCAAGACAGGAAGCTGCTAACTCTAGACCTTTGAGCTGCTGAAATTGCAGCTTTAGATAGCATTTTGAGTTCGGAAATCATTGGCTTTGGGCTGATTTCTGTAGCATGTGACAACCCTTCTGGAAATTGAAGTACTCAGCTGTTTTTGAACCATTTAAGCTGCAGCTCCTTTCCATGTTCCCTGTGTACACAACATATTGAAAACAAATTGCTTGGTTGACTATTTTGGTTTAGCCAAAGATTAAGTTGTTTTTGATCAGTTTGAGCAGTAACTTGTCAGCATTTTCTGCACTATTTGAGCAGCAATTCCACAGTAAGATCTACAACAACTTGAACAGCAGAAAAAAACTGCACAATTGAGCAGAAACTTTCAGGACTGCTGCTGCTGCTAGTTCTAGCCTTGAATTCTACCTTGAGCCAGTTGTAAAGGCTCTGGGCATCAATTTTGCACTCGGTTACAGTGCACCAGTTGTGTACCTGTTCTCCTCAGTATTTTGCACCAGCTGAGCAGCTGAAATTTGCAGCTTTAGCCAGCATCTTAGCTGGGAAATCAGTAGGTTGTTGGAACTATTTGACATAGCTTTGGCCAAACTTTGAACTTGAAAACTTTGATCTTTGTTAAGCCGCAGTACTGCAATTCTGCTGTCAAAAATATTTCTGGAGAAAACCAGATTTCTTTCCACAGTTTTGAAGCTGTTTTTTGGCTGGAAAAGGTTCTGTAATAGTTCAGTTTTGGTGAGATACAGTCCATCCTTTCTGCAGAGTGTTAAAGTTAGTCTGGAAGAGATCAGGATCTGCAGAAGTTGTGCACCAGCAGAGAATTCAAGAACATCTGCAGAAGACTAACTTCAGTCTTGCCGAATCAGATGAACAAAAGTTGTTCAAGATTTTGCACCAGTTGAATTAGTTACATTGTTGCTTAGTAACTTCTGCAAGATGCACTAGTGTGAGTCAGTTTGAACTGCAGTATGCTGATCAGTTAGCTGCACCTTTTGCTATATATCTTTAGGGAATTGAGACTATTTTTTCAGGGAATTGAGACACTAGCTTGGGACAATTGGCTAAAGCTTTTGCACTTGACGGAGAAACAGTAGCACAGAACAGCTACTGCTAGCCTGCACAGCCTTGCAAACCTGTCCGAATTTTACAGATGTGTCCAGTTCTGCAAAATGACATGTTTTACAAAAATAGCCAATTTTGCGAATATGACCCAAATTTGAAAAAAAAGAGTCTAGTTTTGTAGTTTCTTTTCTTTTCTTTCTTTCGATTTATAGTTAACTAAGTTCTAAACTAGATTAACTTGATATTAGTTCATATTATTTCTAGTTTCTTGTGTGCTTTGTTTATTTTGTGCCAATTTTTCGTGCTTTTCTCTTTTATTATTGTTGTGAATTGTTTGGCTCAAGTCCGTTTGCTTTTAGTTGTGCTTTCTTTGGTGTCACATAAATTCCATTTCGAACCGATACTTGATTACCTACTTGGATTGATTTGAGAACGTTGGTTGTGAAGAGAATTGTTAGATACCCTTGTGAGAAAAAAGGCTTGAGTGGTGAGTTCAATTGAGCGAGGTCGCAAAAGCCTGTGACCTGAGTGTAAACACGAGTGTTGAGTGACATATATATTGAGTGAAACACTAAGGGAGTGAATTGTGAGGTACTATATTTCACTGACCGACTTTCTTGCTTTAAGTTTTCTTTTGTAGGTACAAGGAGTCATAAGGGAGGTATGAGTGGTTATGACACTTCTTCTTATGAAACTAATTGTGCTTCTCCCAGTGTTGAAATCTTTTATGATGAAAGTGGGAAAAAGATAAATTTGAGGCATTATGTAGCGAATGTAGAAGGCTATGAGGGTTGTTTAGTTGCTATAAGTAATCACTATGCGACCAACTTTATTACTTCTTCCTTTGTTGAATGGTTGGGATTGCGTTGTATTCCAAGGGAGCCGCCTTATAAATTTAGTGGCGCGTGGGTTGATAGAGGTGTGATGGTTACTGTAACCAAAAGAGACTTTAAAGAAGTGGTTTGGTGTGATGTATATCCTATAAAGTATTGGCATGTACGATTGGGAATGCTTTGTTTCTTGATCATAATCTTCCGATTGATATAGAATGGAATAAGTATGTGGTTGATATAAATGGACGGGGGCATTCCTTCATTCCTAAATACTTTTGAGGATAAGTTATTGGCAAGGCAAGATATTAGAAGTGGAGTTTGGAGTGCAAATCAATTCATAAGTCCTTCTCCTAGTCCAAGTGGAGATTATGATGCTTCTATGTGTCTTTTGATGCTTGTTACAATGCACCTTGCACGTATCCACCACCCCACTACCAACACCAACTACAACCCCCAACCACACTTCAACCACCACAAGTACATCAACTATTACCTTATCAACCTTCACAACAACCTAGACCACCACTAACTCTACCTCCACAACATATGCCTCAAGCACCCCCAAGGAGGGACAATCTCCCTATACTCCACCACCCATACCACCTCAAGAACCTCGAATGATTAACAACCCACTTTTTCAACATGATCACGAGACTACCTTGAATGAGTTGGAAAACATCCAACAAGTTTTCAATGACGAATATAACGGGGATGAAGTGTCAGGGCATATGCAGGTGACAAAGCACCTAGACCAGATGGTTTTTCAATGGCTTTTTTTAGCAAGTGTTGAAGTGTGGTCAAGGAAGATGTAGTAGCAGCAGTACAAAATTTCCACAACCAAGGAGTCTTTAAAAAGAGTATAAATGCCACTTTTGTGGCTTTGATTCCTAAGAAGGTGGGAGCCAAAGAGTTAAGAGACTTTAGGCCTATAAGTTTGATAGGTAGTATATACAAGATCATCTCCAAGTTACTAACTGAGAGACTAAAAAAGGTGATCAGCAAGCTGGTGGACTCCCAACAGATGGCATTCATTAAAGGCAGACAGATCATGGATGCAGTCCTAATAACTAATGAGTGCATTGACACAAGGAAATCAACTAAAAAGCCTAGGATACTATGTAAGCTGGACATTGAGAAAACATATGACCATTTGAATTGGAAATACCTTCTTGACACACTAGGAAGGATGGGCTTTGGAGAAAAGTGGATCAGATGGATAAAGTTCTGCATCTCTACAGTAAGTTACTCAATATTGATCAATGGAGCACCAGCTGGTTTCTTTCCTTCTCAAAGGGGGCTTAGACAAGGGGATCCTCTCTCCCTTTTTCTGTTCATTATTGCCATGGAAGGATTGAATGACATGCTAAAGGTAGCTCAAACAAAGGACTGGATAAGAGGCTTTAAAGTGAGTAGCAAGATTGATAGTCACAAGAGAATATCACACCTACAGTATGCGGATGATACCTTAGTGTTCTGTGAAGCTAAAAGAGAACAAGTAAAGGTACTGAGGGTGATTTTCATTCTTTTTGAAGCAATCTCTGGTCTTCACATTAACTGGCAGAAAAGCTACATCTACCCTGTTAATGAGGTGCTGGAAATACAAAGTGTGGCTAACATTCTGGGGGAAAGAGTAGGGGAACTTCCTATTGTATACTTGGGGATGCCTTTGGGTGCAAAAAGCAAGTCTAAAGGTATATGGAATACTGTGCTGGAATAATGTGAGAAGAAACTAGCAAACTGGAAGAATCAATACTTATCCATGGGGGGTAGACTGGTTTTGATCAATTCAGTCCTTGATGTTGTACCTACATATATGATGTCTCTGTTCCCAATTCCAGCTTATGTAGTAAAGAGAATTGATGCTTTAAGAAGAAATTTCCTATGGGAAGGTAATAGTGAAAAGAAGAAGTTCCATCTGGTTAGACGGAATGATCTGACAATCAGCAAAATGGCAGGGGGATTGGGAATAAAGAACCTGAGAGTGCAGAACCAAAATTTGATGATGAAGTGGCTATAGAAACTGGCAGCAGATGAACAAACCTTGTGGTCAGAGGTCATTAGGGAGAAATATGGAAATGAAGGGAACTGGACATCCAAGCCAGTGAGAAATCCATATGGAGTCAGTTTGTGGAGATCAATCAGAAACTTATGGCCAAAAATGATCAACAAAGGCAATGGTAGCAAAATATCACTATGGTATGACAATTGGCTAGGACAAGGAACCTTGAAGGAGCTATTCCCTGACATCCAAGATCTGAATCAACAAAAAGAAGCAACTATAGAAGAGGTATGGACAGCTCAGGGGTGGGACCTCACCTTCAGAATAATGCTAAATGATTGGGAGATCGATAGAGTAATTGAATTCTATAGGACCTTGGAACAATTCAGTGGTACCAGTGCTAGCCAAGATCTTATCATATGGCAATGGAATGAACATGGGAAGTACTTAGTAAAGAGTGCCTATAAGGAATACAATCTAACAAACAATCAGATTGGATGCTGGCCATGGAAGATGATATGGAAAGTTAAAGTTCCATACAAGGTTGCTTGTTTTACTTGGCTATTAGCTAAATAAGTAGTCCTAACACATGACAACCTAACAAGAAGAGGATTCCAGATGTGCTCTAAGTGTTACCTATGTGGTGAGAAAGCAGAGACAATTAGTCATCTCTTTTTGTATTGCAGCTTCACTATACAGATATGGAGGATTTTTATCAGTCTAAGGGGAATTCCATGGGCAATGCCGGGAAGAATCCTTGGTATTCTAGCTAGCTGGAATAAAGAGGGCTCACTTTCGAGAGACAAAGAGAGATGGAGAATTGTCCCAGCTTGTATATGGTGGACAGTGTGGGAAGAGAGAAACCAAAGATGCTTTGAAGAGAAATCCAACAACATTCAGAAGATAAAGATAAAATGTTTAGCTCTTTTTTATTTTTGGTGTAAAGGAAAACTTTTGGAGGATAGTGTATCCATTTTAGATGCCTTAGACTCATTGTAAGAGAACAAAGGCAGAAAAGAGCCCTTTTTGTGTAGTTTTATATGTGCACTTACATTGTAATTATGGGTGACTTCACAATTTTAGTGAAGTCTTTATATGAATATACAAATATGTTACCTTTTCCAAAAAAGAACATCCTTGAAAAATACAAAGAGAAAAAGTAAGGATGACAGACAAAAGATAGAGAGAAGTAAGGGAGAGAAAAGTGACAACTCTAGAGTGAAAAAAGAAGAGGAAAAGTGGAGTGAAGTGAGTGAGTGAGTTGTCACAAAAAAAGAGTGAAGAGCTTGAAAAGAAAATGAGAGAAAAGAAAGAGGGAAAACAAAAAGAGAGTGAGGATTTTCCTTATTCTAATGCTACTAACCTTTCTTTATTTGATGAGTTTGATATTTCTTTATCTTGTGATGTGAAAGATAATGGTGGCTTGCAACTAGTTAAGAGTTCTTGTGTATTGTTGGATACTTCTAGCTCTTTGTTTACTGACTCTTTAGCTAGTGATGTGAGTGATGTTGAGTCTTATGATAGTCCACCTATATGAGATGATGTATGTGATGATTCTTTTTATTCTACTTTAACTGTGGGAAGAAAGTTCTGATCTTTATAAAGAAATGAGTCAAGAAGAATATGTTGATAAATATTTTGATTCTATTTCCATTCCTTTGGAAGAAAGATTCAATTTTTATGATGAAATGAGCGAATGTGAATGTGGTAATGATTTGGTTGAGAGTAAAAAGGAAAATAAAGTTTTTGATGCTAGCACTAGTATTAGTTACTTTACGTATCTTATTCCTACTTTTGAAAGAACATTCTCGTTAGATTTTACTAATGCTTCTTTGAGAAAAGGTAAGAATATTTCTTTTGGTGTTTTGAATGATCATTGTGAGCAAAAAGAACCTAACTTTATTGATTATTTTGTGAAGGTTCAACAAGAGAAAGTTGCTAAGGGTAAGGAAAGCGTTGAACTAACTCTTCGGCATATATTTTGTCAAAAGCATTTTCTTTTGCCTAAAAGCAAGAATGATATGTACATTTAGCTTATGCTTATCTTGTGTTTATCTAAGGCCATTGAGGTAAAGATGCATAACTTTGAGTATTTTTATATTCTTTGTATGATGATTCATGATGAACTTGGCCTATCTCTTAAGTTGCCATGTGAAGTTGTTGTTGGAAAGTATGTGGATACTTGGGTATTAAAGTTTGTTTTTGACCCCGGAGTTGTTTCTTATTATGGTAAAGTGTCTTTCTTTGGATTGGAGGGTATGCTTTTTATTGTTTCTTATGACACTTGGTTATACCATAAAAGTGTGTACTTTATTGAGCATTTTACAAAATTGTGATTTTGTTGGAAGTATGGGACTTTCTACTCTCGTGATTCTTCTCATGGATATAATTTTCCTTATAGTCAAGTTTGTGTCATTTGTGTTGAAGACATGTTCTTTC